AATCAACTTTTGAAATGGCAGATTGAAGAAAGGTTCCTATCTCTCAATCTGCCTTCCCAATATTTTTTTTTCTTAGAGAAACTGCTGGCCCGTCATCTCATTCACGGTGTCAGTTCAGAGACTGAAATACACATGTCTAAGAGCTGCTAGAATCTCCATCACATACTAGAAACAAGGGGTTTGGCAGAGGGCTACCGGGTGTCAAAGAGAGGTTCCGTGCGGACATGATTTAATTCCGGTACCGGGCACCAATCCGATTAAATCTCCATCCTTCAGGAGCGTCTTTTCTTCACTCCTCCGACACGTTCCTTCCTCCCATAATAAATATGACGCTATGGACAGCGGGTATAAAACCACCGAATCCGACTAGAAGGAAATGTGGAATGAGATTTAAGTCCACGACGACCGGCAGCTCCGCGCCAGGACCTCGCTTTGCTGTGCCACACTCCGCACCGCGGCGGCACGGGGTCCTAAGGAAGGCTGTTCTCATGCTCCTGGCACGACTGTGCTGCTGTTGCTGCTGATGATGACACTGCTGCTGTTGTTGCTACTACTACTTGTGTTGTTTGCGGTAGTATACGACGGCGTCGTTGACGTCGCGTGTGACGTGGATGGGGACGGGGAAGGGGACGGGGAAGGGGACAGGGACGAGGACGAGGTCGTCGATGGTGCGGGTGATGATTCCTTCTTGAGCTCCACGACGACACGCTTGATGGCACTCACGTCGTCCTCGGCCATGTCCTCGTGGGACGTGCCCGAGAACTCGGAGAAGTTCCAGAGATAGGAGCCGCGGTCGGGGGTCATGACCAGGTGCGCGGGCCGGCGGCTCGGCTTGCGCCGGAACAGCGCGTCGGTGACCGCCGCTTGTTTCTGCGGCTTGGGCCTCGGCGGGGGCGACTCGTACTTCTTGGGCGTTGAAACGGCCTGCGGGCAGTCACATCAACAGCAGGTTACAACATTTATCCGGAGCACCAATAAGGTAACGACTGATTTGCCTCGCCCGCATGCGCAATTGTAGTGCACGCACACTCGCCGACTTTGAACGTTCCCCGAGGTGACGCGAGAAAAAAAAAATGGCACCCTGAGAGGAAAATGTTCAAAATTGATCATCAACTACAGAGCGTGTGCCAGGGCGAGTGTGTAGCAGATAGCGCCTGCAAAGCGCAGGGTAGGCCATCCCGCCACGCACCTGCGTGGCGCCGGTGGCCCGCCCTGCTGTCGGTTGTCTGCGGCTCCGCCTCACTTGCAGGGGCACAGGAACGTTAACGCGTCACCCCGGGTGGGTATAGTGGTAGTACCTTGCACCACCTGGTATTTACAAGTTTATCCCGTTTTATGAAAAATCGTTGCCAAGTTTTGCGTTGTAAACCTCACCTGCAGCTTAGTGCGCTGTGCTGCTAGGCCGTTCTGCTGCTTGAACTGCTTGGCCTCGTCCTCCGACAGGATGTACCGCGAGCCGTCCGGGCGCCGGCCGATGGTCTTGATGGCACGTGTGGTGCGGGACGATGTGGCCTCGGTGACGGTGGGCCCCGATGTGGACGTTTCCGTCGTGCCCGGCGTCGTCGAGGCCTCCGTGGTCGTCGCCTCCGTGGTGGTGGGTGCGGTCGACGTCTCCCGGCGCCCCTCAACGATGATGATCTCTGGGCCGTCGGCGACTGCGGCGGTGGTTGGGGTCTCGACACTCTCCTCGGTGGTCGTGGTTGTAAAAGGCGACGGCGTGGACGGGTTCAGGACGACCGCCCCCAGAGGAGTGAGCTGGGCGACGTGCCGATGCAGCACACTCGCGCTGGCCTCCGCGTCGATGTCGCTCAGGTCGACGTGGTGGTTGTGGTTTGCGGCCACGAGCGGCGCCGCCGTCACCACCTCGACGGCGTCGTCACCGTCGGCGGCCTTGTCGGCCTTGAGCGCGCGGGTTGTCCTGGACCCGACCGTGCCGGCTACGCTCGCCGTGGTGGGCTTGACAGTCGTTGTCTTCTTCGTGTCCGAGTCCACGGCCTTCTTCTTGGACCACGCTGAAGTGGTGGCGGTGAAGACCTGCACGACAAAGAACCGCTGCTGTACGCCCGGTACTCAACAAAGAGGGATCTACACGACGCCTGAGCACGGCCGCTTACCTTGGAGTGCCCTGAGATGGTCTCGACAGCGAAGCCCCGCGGAGTCGCTCTGGAGGAGGTCTTGGTCACGTCCTTGTCCGCCGCAGTCGTCGTCGTGGTGGTGTCCGCACCTGGGCAGGACAGACATGTGTGGTAAAAACAAACCCAGGCTCCGAAACAATCCGTACACTGAAGTGGGAGATCATGCACTCGGGCCGATGTGTCTACCTGAGAGGCGCTCCGCGGTGGCCGTGCTGGCCGTGTTCCTGAAGCCGACGGGGCGCGGCTTGGGCCAGCCCGGCGTGGGCCGGATGGAGAAGCGCGCCCGGGTGTGCTGTGTAGAGGAGGTGGCCGGACCCGGCGTCGTGCTAGGCACGTCCATCCACTTTCGGAACGGGCTCAGGTCGTTTATGTTGACGGACTTGGTCGCGCCGTCGCCGGTCGTCGTCTCGGAGCCGCCGTCGCCACTGCTGGTCGGGGCAGAGGCCGGGCTCTCGGAGGTGGACTCGCCGGCCGACGTGCTCAGCGGGGTCACGACGTACACCTGGAACAGCAAGGCGCGGCGGGTGAGCGCGGGTGGACAGAGCGGGGTGACACCTGCAACAGCACAGCCTTTTACCTTCTCTCTGGTGAGTGGCGAGATGGACACCTGCAGGCGCTCCCAGGGCGCGCGTGTCTGGTCGGAGGAGCGATGGTTGTCCGGGGTGGCGGGCGCCGGGGTGGTGCTGCGGTGAATGGCGCTGGTCGATGGAGCCGCGGTGCTGGTCCTGGAGGTGGTGCTGGTGACCGTGGTTGTGGTGGGCCCAGGCACAACCAGGTTCTCCACCAGTGTCCAACCGTTCTTGGTCCTCCGGTCGTCCCTGGTCACGTTCTTCCTCACGTGGTGTATCTTGGCGGGGCGTTTGGTCGTGTCCGCAGCCGCCTCTTTCTTGCGAGACAGCGCCGACGGCGACCTGGACGTGGGTGACCTCGAGGTGGGCGACGGAGTCACGGGCGTGGTGGACACGGACAGGGGCGTGGTCGTAAGGTACTCTTTGGGGATTTTCTTGGACGGTATAAGCTTGGCGTGCGCAGAGGAAGGCGAAGCGGCGGCCGACGGGGAGGTGCCGACAGACGCCGTCGTGGACGTGAAGTTGAACGTGACGATGCCGGGGTTGGCCTCCTGTCCTTCAGTGTCTCTGATCGCTTTGAGTGACGAGTACTCCTGTTGGGTTGAAGAGAGAACAGCACAATCGTTACATACGCACTAAGCTATGCACAGCAGCTATGGAAGTGTGGAATGTTACCTGAGCTGTCCAGTTGTCAATGTTCTTCTGCAATCGTAGCCGGTCCACCGAGTCCTCTTCGTTCCGGAGGAGGGTGCGCAGGTCCGTGGCCAAGATGTGCTGTAGCCCGGCGAAGGGGTCGGCCGCGGACACGGGGCTCTTGTCCTGCTGCTGCGCCTGCCAGGGCGTCGGGCTCAGCTCGGCCACGACGACGGACTCCTGGGCCTGCGGCTGGTGATGGTGCTGGTGGTTGGCGGCGACGTGCGTCACGCCGTGCGGGACCTTGCGCGCCGTCTGCTGCACGAGCGCCTCGAGGCCGGAGGGTAGCTCGGCCAGGGCGGAGGGCGGCAGCTCCGGCGGCGGCGTGTACGAGAGGACGCCCTCGGCCTCGGCGCCCGCGCCGGACAGCTCGTCGGGCATGAGCTCGCTGTGCAGGCGCACCTGTGGGGTAGGGGGCGGAGCAAACGCCTCGTTAAACATTATGTAACCCCAAATAAGAAGGCAAAAGTTTCATACTGACCTGTCCACTCTCCTTGTCGATGGTGTACGGCACGATGATCTGTATCTGCTTCGTCTTCTTCTTGCCGCTGGGTGCGGCGGGCGCCGAGGGTGCGGTCTCCGGGGCGGACGGCGCGGACGGCGCGGAGTAGCCGCTGGCGCCGTTGGCGGTGACGGTGGCCGCGGCCGAGGTGTCCCAGGCGCTGGTGGCCGGCGACGCGGTGCTGGACGACCAGACGGGGGATGGCGACGAGGCGTCCTCTAGGTGGCGGTAGTTGTTGGGCGACGCCGTCGGCCCGGTGACCTTGTGGCTCTCGAAGTGCGCCACCTCCTGCGCGTACGCGTGAGAGTTCTGCGAGTTGGCGGTCGCCGCGTCCTCGTGGTGCTCCTGGAGGCCACCGCCGCCGCTGCTGTAGCCGCCGCTGGCCTGCCGCTGGGCCTCGTGCGCCTGGATCTGCGCCTGCGCGGCGGCGAGCGCGGCCGCGTAGTGGCGGCACGGCGGCGCCAGGTTATGCGTGTGCTGGATGGCGGCCGAGGACTCCGAGTCCGACAGCCGGGGTGCGTGTGGGGCCTGCTGCGCCGACTCGCCTTGCAGCGGCAGCGCGCCGGCGTGCGTCTCCACGTGGTCCACGGAGTGCACCCCGCTGCTCAGCGGGGTCGGCGCCACCACCTGGTACGGCTGCTGCACCGGCTGCACCTGCTGCGGCTGCGCCTGCGTCTGCACCTGCTGCGGGACGAAGCCGTGCGGGGCGGTCTGGAAGGGCGCGCTCTTGACGGGGATCTCGATGAGCGGCGACTGGATGAACGTCATGGGGTACTCGATGGAGGCCAGGTACGACGCGATAGGCACGCTCTGCACCAGCTCGACGCCGCCAGAGTGGGCCGCGCCCTTGGCCAGGCTGGCGCTGTAGGACTGCTGGTGCAGGCTGTTGGGCGGCGGCGGCACGTGGTGGTGGTGCACGTGCTGGCCGTGGTGCTGGTAGTGGTGGTGGTGCGAGTGGGGCGACACCTGGTGCTGCGCGAGGGCGTGCTGCTGCAGCTGCTGCTGCTGTTGCTGCTGGTGGTGCACGTTGTGGTGCTGCAGGGTGCCCTGGTGCACCTGGTCCGGGGCGGACTTGAGCTCGCCGACGCCATCCAGCTCATTGCCGGCTTGCTCCACCTGGGGCGGTGGCGGCGGCGGGGTCTCCTCGTTGATGGTGAAGACCACCGACTCGTGCTCGGGCGTCGGCGGCACCAGGTGGTCGCGCAGGCCGACGGGCTGCGGGGGCGGGTCAGGGGCCACGTGGGTGAAGTCCTCGGCGGGGAAGATGGGCGGCAGCGGCCCCTTGTGGAGCGCGGGGAAGGCGATGGGCGCGTGCGCCAGCGGCACGGCGTCAGAGGCCTGGCCCCAGGCCTCGCCCGCGGCCGGCGGCCCGTAGCTGTCCTGGGGGCCGTTGTCGCGTGTGTCGGGCTGCGCCCGGGACATGGGGATCCAGGGCACGTTGTTGCACGGGTTGCAGTCCGTCGTGCGCATGTACGATTGCGGCATGAGCACCGGGTAGTTTTGCTGCCGGCCTCCGTAGCCGCCCTGGTTGCCTCCGTAGCCGCCACCGCCGCCGCCGCCACCACCACCGCCGCCTTGGTAGCCCTGCGCGTGGTGCTCCGTGCCGCTGGCGTGCTGGTCCACTTGCGCGGAAGACTGTTGCTGCTGCTGCACGGGGTGCGCGGGCGGTGGCTTCTGTTCGGACAGCGCGGCCGCCTCCGCGGTCAGAGGCGGGCCCTGCTGCGGCGCAGGCACGGCAGCCCCCGGGGGCGGCGGCGGCGGCGACAGCCCGACCATGGTGGGCGTCTCGTTGGTCAGCGGGCCGCCCTTGTTGCCGTGCTGCTTGCCGAGTCCGGGGCCGTCGTTGGGCCCCGCGTAGAACCAGCGTGCGATGCGCTCGCCCAGGCTGAGCGACGGCGGGTTGGAGGCGGCGCCGCCGGGGGCCGGGCCGGAGGCGGCGTTGCCGGGGGCGGGCCCGGGGGCGTTGCCCCTCCTGCTGCGGACCACGGCCGCGCCGATGGACGCCGCCCCCCTGCCCGGCGGCGGCGGTGGCGGCGGCTCCAGGAACTCCTCCAGGTGCCGCTTGACGTGGCGCGCGGGCCGGGGCGAGTGCCGGTTGTGGTTGTGTGCGTTGGCCTGCACGGCCAGGACCAGCGCGGCAAGGAGCACCACCTGCGGGCAGAGGGCACACTCATAAAAACAATGTCACCAATCTATTTTTATTTTCTCCAAACAATTATTGATGCGAAAGAGCACAGAGCATTCCTTCGTGAGCAGTCTTTCTCTCTCTCTCTCTCTCTCACACATTGAGGACGGTGCGGTGCGGACGCCCCTAATTGCAAAGAGGACCGAGAGAAAAGGACCTCAGCTAATATCGCTTTGCTTTGGCCGCCCCGTCAGCAAATACCATTCCATCTTGGATCGTGACAGAGCTGCCATAAACATGTCCCCGCGCCAGGAGTGGGCTGGAATTTAAGCTGCTCGGATGGAGATATCGAGTAAATCCAGCGTGAGCGACGGCTGGCGTGCCGTGCCTGCGGCTCAGAAACAATACACTGCAGTCCCCCCATAGGCCTACCCGAGCGGGCTGCGGACTCTAGCGGACTCCAGCAGTTGAGAGACAGGCGGTGTCCGGTAGCCGGGATCCGGACCTTCCGCGGACACACAGCACAAAGTAGTGCCATATCCAGTCCAGCTGGACTCTCCTGCCCTGTCCAGGGGCTGTCCAGCTGTGACAGGGGCGTTCTACGCGCGCGGCAAAAGACCTTCGCTTTTCTTATATAAACTTTCCGTTTCGAGACAGGCGCGACACTCTGGTATTCCATGGAAGCCCAGTGCGAGCCCCGCTCTCCGTTCTAACACGCGGGCACGCGGATGAACGACGGACAACGCACATTGCTGGAGAAAATAGCAAGGGGTAGGAGAAAGACGGGCTGCTCTGCTTGGACACCAACACTTACAGAGAAAAAACATTTTTGCAATTTTTGCCGATCACAGAAACCTCATAGTGATCCCTTCATGACCACCGAGGCCAGCACTTTGTGCACTCATGAGACCTCACATAGTACATCATTGTGACCACCCGCGACGTCGTTGACGTCTGCATTGTCCTAAACTAGACCTGGAATAACTTTAGACGTGTCTTATAAATGTGGTGTTTTCGAACGCTTGGAGGAATAGATGGCCATAAAACGCAAACAACCTGTTGGCGCCGAAATATAAAACCGAGCTTGTGAGCGATCCCTGCTCGTCTTATCTCGTGGAGGTGGCCACGGGTGCCGGTGCGTCGGGGCGGCTGTGGGTAACTTTCCTTTCGTTTTCTCTGCCCGGCCCGCTCACGGAGCTCCTCCTCTTGTTCTCCACCATCGCGGACGCGGGAGTACGTCGCGGTCGCGCCACCCGCCGCCACCGCGCCCGCGGCCCGGCCCGGCCCGGCCCGGCGGCAGAAGCACGCGCACGCGTGGGAGGATCTGCCGCCGCGATATGTCGCCGGGCCCGGGCCGCGCCGCCCGCACCCCGCCGCGCGCTGCACCGCGCCGCCAACTAAAGTAACAAGCTCGCTCGGCGACGTGGGCGACGCGATGACGCCGCGGGGACTCCGCGGCGCATGAAAGCGACGACGACCCCACCCGCGACCGGCGGCGACAAGGGCAAGTATGCCTCACAAGAATGTCATCTCCATGTTTTTTGTTGTTTTCTTTTCTTTTCGTTTTCGAGTGCTACTGGGCTGTGCCGGCAAAAATGTTGTAATTCCTTAGAGCACAACACTGAACGCAGAGTGGGCGACAGGGGTGAATCGCGAATCACCACCGCTCCCCTCCCATCGGGAAATGATCTCTCGGGAAAGGGCTACCTACACCTAATATTTTCTTTGATAGCCGAGCAGTTTTTAAGCCACGACTAGAGCTGCCAGAAGCATACCCCTCCTCATGACGAGCCCTGGAACGGGACCTGTGCTGTGCCGGCAGCGCCGGGCGGCGCCCACCCCGCGCCCCTCGCTCCGGCCGGACCCTGGACCTGGACGCGGTGCCCGCGGGAGGCGGTAGCGCTGCTCGTCTCGTGCAATCGGCCATCAGCCGGAGAAAGTGGATATGCTGTGTCGTCGCCGGGAGCGAAGCCCCTTTGGGGTGATGGGGCCCCCTCCGTGGGGTCCACCTCTGGGTTCCCCCACCCGCGCGACGCGCACCCCCGGTAGCAAAAAAGATTCAGGCGAGGAGACCCCCCTGGGGAGGGCTAACATAAGGGGCGTTCGAGATGGCCACCCAGAGGTCAGCGCGAAGGGATCATCCAACCTGCCAAGCAGTTTGCCGTCTGCAAGCTCTCATAGCGCCTGGTAGGTAGGCAACGTCCCGCCTGCAACGCACGCGTGTACTGCGGGGTAGCCTACCTCGAATCTCGCAGGCGTTGAGCACACGTAATTTGGCGAATTAATCTGACAAAAACGTACATAATTTCTGGACGATCCACAAGAAGAGGGCATTTAATGCTGTAAGGTGCAACTCAAGTCAAGCAATGGAAAACTAACTGCAACAGTATCAAAAGGATAAAGAAGCCTAAAGGTTGCTCAGATAGTCCTTCGTGCATAGCATCGCGCGCACACATGCGGCCAGCAGCGTCATTGAATGAGTCTCGGTCGGGAGATGCGCATCAGCCGATGCTCGCGGTAACGCGCCGCGCAGCAGAGGGGGGCAGAAAATGGTCGCACAAATCGAACTCGTCCTGCTAATCTCATCGGCGGCCGCGCGCCATCTCGGCGGGGAGATCTAAACGGCCGGCCATTCCCACCAACAGCAGCAGCAGGTGGCGCACTGGCTGTGCGTACGGCCGAGCCGAGCCCAGGCACATGAATGGGCTCTAAAGACACATTACTCGCGACGCACAGCCGCCCGGCGGGCGTAACTGAGCCTGGGCCGGCGACGAGTTACGTCTCTTGTGCGTCCGAACTGCTAGACAAGCATCAGTACCCTCCCTCTTCTATACATGCCTACCAGCTGTCGAAGGCTTGTTATGGGTTTTTTCCTAGATGATTCGACTCGATGCACGTGTGCGAAAAGTTAAAAGTGTTGTCAGAGGACGTCACAGAGAATTTCTTGTTGAAAAGTATCCTAAAAAGAATAGCTCTTTATTTCAGTCTTTTCATGATTAATACGCTTAGTTGGACAATTGTCTTTATTGTTTTTAAAAACTCACCAGAAATGTTCTGTCCAACAGTTCCACAACAATAAATATTAAAGAGTTGTCGATGTTTATTTTCCCGATGTCGTGAAAGCGCGAGAGATTCATAGGGGCGAACTGGCAGAAGCCAGTCATTATATAGTTTTGGAACGAAAGATGAAAGTTCCACTCAGGGCAAGAGCGAACAGCAGACGACAAGTTTATGGCCTTTAGAGGACCGGACCCCCATCCCCTCTCCCTCCTCTCTTTCCAAATCTATTTCTCTCTCACCTCTCACGCAGCATACCTCTCTCTCTCTCTCTCTCTCTCTCTCTCTCTCTCTCTCTCTCTCTCTCTCTCTCTCTCTCTCTCTCTCTCTCCCCCCGCTTCTCGCGCAGTGCCCCTAACCTTTTCTGAAATATCAGGCAAAAGCATTTTACCGACTTGAATTAATGATTACATTGCTCGGCCAATTAATTAATCGCTCAATCGAAGAGCAGACCACCGTCGAGATAAGACCCGTCCTCCCTCCCCGCCCCTCCCAACCCCGCCCCGCCACGCCCGCTGCTAATCCCTGAACGGGTCGGGACCCACGGGCCGGGGCGGCTCGCTTGGGGGCATGGGGATCGCACCTAATTAACTTTCTCCGTATTTGTCTGACCAATAAACGACGAATCACTTTGTTCAAAGCGGGTGTAGCGAAAAGGGAGGAGATGAATGCGGATTTAATCCTCCACCGAAGTTGCCTTCAAAAAACAATAATTGGTATTGGTAACTCAATTTATTAATCTCAAACTCATTGATGACTACGATGGAGTATACAGTTTCCGATGTATATGTGCTTGTATAAAATATTTTGGATATTCTGAAATAATGTAAGGAAAGGTTTACTGTTTACGTTTAGCCAACCCGATGCCATCAGCCCGCCTGCGCGTAACACGAGTCAGCTCAGCTGGCCACGGGCCCACCCTGGAGCCACGTGCCAAGCCTTACGCCAACTGCAAAGAAAGCGCCAAGAGTTGCACTTGTAATAGTGGAGCCCACACACCACACGCAGAAGCGACAGAAGGCGCGTGTGCATTAATATATACGGACGCCGACGTCCAAGACCACTGACGCTAAAAGCTTCCACATTCCGCTCACGGCAAAGTGAGCTCTGTTGGCTTTTGGCTTCTTAAAGCGATTCAAACCAGTGATTGTAAATAAAATTCGGTGGAACCATCGAGCGTGGAGGCTTGAAAGCTCAGCGATTACATTTCGGCTGAACACAGAAACAGTTTACGGTGTAACTTACGCACGCTAATTTCCTTACAATGAGCACTATTCATATCAAAAAGAAATGGAGATGGGCAGATAAGTGCTCTTTGTAATACAAATAAGCAAAACCCTTCGATACACAACGGATATATTTGTTTTACAAATATTTCAAATCCTTTGTAAATCTTAAAGAGCAGCTCTTTCTAAGAAACCGTGCGGTGAAATTCTCTGTAAGCTCTGAACCGCTTTTAACAGAGAGTGTATCCATACCTTGACAATTGAGATCATTTCGTTTGACCAGACGACACTCAGCGAACAATAACGTGCACACACAAACTTTTTATTATACGGCGAAGTAAGTATTAAGTAACGAAACGACCTGACGGGGCAGAGTCGAGAGGAGTCGCGCGCGACTCGAACATTGGCCGTAACCTAAGTGCCATCAATTGGCTCCAACGGTGGTGGCGCGCAGTGGCGGGTGGCGCGCGCGGCGCGTGGCTACCTGTTCCAGCCCGCTGCACTAGCGCCGTGGCGTGGCGCGGCGTGGCGCGGCGTGGCGCGGCGTGCGCCCGGCCAGCAGCGGCTCGGCAAGGGCTCTCTGGACCGGACTGGCCGGCTGCGATAGACTCCGGCTCATTACCGCCGAACTGGTCGCGATGCACGAGGGTGTGAGAGAAGGCGCTCCGCGGCGGCGACACGGTGTGCCGCTACCTCGGCACTCACCGCCCAAACAACAACGAGGACGGTACAACACAACACAG